TTTCATTCCTGGCTGCCTTTCTCTCCTCTTTCCATACACTCTCTAAAGCAGGGGTCCTCAAACTTTTTAAACAGGGGGTCAAGTTCACTGTCCCTCAGACCGTTGGAGGGCCGTTGGAGAGTGCGGCGCACATTCCACGCATGCGCACTGTGGGCCTGGGACCAGTCGGCTGCTAAGCAGGACAGGCAGCGGTGGCAAAAACACCCGGCGGGCCGGATAAATGTCCTCGGCAGGCCGTATGTGGCTGGTGGGCCGTAGTTTGAGGACACCTGCTCTAAAGGGTCTCAGACATTCTCCTGGCTCTAAAATATCACTAATGTGCTCCCAATGTCTCTCTCTAGCCTGGACCTTTCTTCTGAGCATTGCCCAGGAACGCGAGGCTAATTAGCATTTGATGATGTGTATAAAGACAAGTTCATTTGTCCTACAAATTACTCAGCTCTTCGCAGTGAGAGAAGTTCTCACTCCTTGGTTTTATTGCCTCTTCAATCCAAAGCAACCATCAGGAAGATGATCGTCTTTATAGAAAGCCAGGCAAGATACCGTCATTCATGGGGAAACTGACTTATTACCGACTGTACAATTACACACCGACAGACCACTATGCCATCTACACAGAAGCACTGAAGGAAGATGCCAAGAAAGGGGGAAAAAAAAAACAGGAAGGAGGAATCATATCTTACTCAGTTTAGAGTTTTCTAGTCCTCTACAAAGTGTTATGTCAGCCACATAAGATGCTCAGAAAAAAATTTTTTTCCCTAGAAGAACAAATTAAGAAATAAAGGACCCACTTGACCATGCCTAAGGGGCCCAGTCTAGGAAGGGTACCAATCTGGAGAACACGGCTTAGGTACAATAAGTGCTGGATCTCTATTTGTTAAAAGAAATCCAAGTGGCAGAAGAACGGGAGGCCACGAGCCATTATCAAACAGGACAACTCTTCTCAGACCAGTTTGCTGTATCTTCCCGCAGAGAGTTAGCTGGGGCTTTCACCACTGACTCAACAAGGAAAAAGTTTTCCAATTATTTCAACTGATGCGTTCGCCTTGCCATTTGGCGAGTTAGGATTCCACAGATCTAAGTAACCACAGTCTCGATCATGTTGACCATTTTACAATCGACCATGCTTTTAGATCGGCCGATTCCTCAAAGCTCATTGGATTTCTCTACCTCTATCTTTAAAATCAAACTGATCAACATAGCCAATAAACAGAACAAACAACGCCACAGAGCTGCGGCTTCGGGGTTCTGACACCCCAGAACATCCAACTCCTCCCAGGGCCATCGTGCCAACCTCAGCGGTTTCCACTGGAGGCACCTTTCCTCAATTAAGTCTATAAATAGAAATTTTACTGCTTCCAAGAGGATATAAATCAGTTCGGCAGGACACTCTTGGGGCAAAGATGAGGGGACAAGGGCTGGGAGAGGAGGACAAATTTAAATTATTCACTGCAATGGGAATCAGGACTGGGGGTGGATAAACTGCTTGAGATCCAGACTCCCCTTGCATAGCACCATCACCGACGCCCAGCCTGAAGGTGCCTTCCTTCAAAGGAGTGATCAAATCTAGAAGTGACGTCGCTCTACTGCTGCTTCAAAATGTTTCCACTTATTAAAAGATTTCAGTGCCGAACACAAATCCTGGCTCCCCTGGAGAGTACTTGGAGACAGAAAAAGCGTGTTGCTTTGGCAGTAACTCCCCGACATCCACCCAGCTCGGGTGCTTTGTGCAAATGCCTTTTGTCAGCTTCCTACAGCTCTGTGCCTCTCGGTGAGTCACAACCAATAATCCACCCCAACCCCAGCCCCCAAAGCAGCAGGGTACCAGGAAGGCTAATCCTCTCCTACTCCTTTTTCTTTCCTAAATATGCGTATTTCGTGCACTGAGCTTTTGCTACCACTAGACCTTTGAGTATCTACGCTGCTGCAAAATAAAATAATCTCCCGGTACAATGTTCAATAATTCTCAGCCTTAGTGAGTTCTTCCAGTATCCAAGCTAAAGTCTTCGTGCCGCTGCACAAGCCTATTTCCTCTCCTACTCCTCTCAGTGAAGTTAGAATCTCATTAGCACTGTGCTAAGTCCAACAGAAGAGAACATATATGAGGTGCCCAAAATAATCAAATGAGACCTGAGTTAGGAGGGTCAGGGGAGGGTCCCCAGACAAGGTATCACTCGAGCTGAAATCTCAAGGGTGTGCAGGGGTTGGGGTGGGGAAGGAGTCAGAGCCTCCCAGGAGGTGGAAGCATGCATGTGGGGAGGTGAGGCTGGAGGGGCCAGGTAGGTAATGGACAGAGGTGAGGGGGGAGGGGCAGGGACAGCCACCAAGATAAAGATCGGCAGGGCCCCTTAAGTCACCTGATATATTGCAGACTTGGTTCCAAGAGGATGGGAGCCACTACAGGATTCTAAAGAAAGCAACGTGGGTAGGCTTTTTATTGAGAAACATCACTCAGCACCCATGAGGACAATGAATTCAAACAGGAAAGAGTAGAAGCAGGGGACTCGTTAGAAGCTATCTCTGGCGGACCAGGCAGAACGTGACAGCAGCTGGGATTAGGGTGATTCCAGGAGAGGATGGAAACAACCAGAAAAAAAATTCAAGATCTTTTTGGGAGGTAGAATGTGCAGCATACGCAGATGAACCTGAGGCAGAAGGAGATACAAAGATTAACTTAGCGGTTTGGGCCTTGAGTAATGAGAGATGGTGGTGGCGTTTGTGGAAACACAATGACAGCCGGAATGACTGAAAATGGGGGTTCACGAGTTCAGTATTACACGTGCTAAGTCCGAGACACCTGTGAGGCATCCAAGGAAAGAGATTCAGCAGCTGGTTAGATACAGCAGGTGCCACACCGCTAATGAAGATCATTTTAAGCAGAATCAAACATACCACATTCTTTTAATGTTTTCTAGAAAGAGGGTGTATTCTAGAGAAGCACTGTTCAAAATGGTAGCCACTAGCCACATGGAAGCTACTTGGATTTAAATTAAAATTTTTAAAAAATTCAGTGTGCAGTGGCACCTGCCACATTTCAAGTGTTCAGTGTGCTAGTGGCTACTGTGTCGGACAGTGTAATGGACATTTCTACAATCACAGGATGTTCCATCAGACAGCCCTGTCCCAGAAGATCAGATGGCTTCCTCTTTATAACGCTCAGCTCTGACTAGTCTTCTGGTGAGGGTTCAACTGTCAGACTTCCAACACCAAGAAACAGAATCCTACTACTTCAACTTTGGGGTTGAAGATGATGATATGGAGAAAGAAGGTATGATAATCGTTGTTATTCGGGTATCTATTTTTAAAAAAACACAGATAAAATTTGGACCAAAAGTAACAAACTATGGGCTACCTAGCACAGCTAGGCTACTCCTTGAACATCTTAGATTTTTTAAATTTATTGGTAGCATAAGCTATGGCTCAAAGGCCCCAGCACGCTGCTTAACATGAAATTCAAGGTTCACGTTAGACCCTTCAAGAAAGGACACGGACATGTGTTACAAGGCTTCAGACTGGCCTGAAAAGAACCCTCTTGGCTTTCAAGTCGTCAGCTTTGGTTTTTAGGCATTGGGGAAGGGTGTTCAGACTGGAGAATGAAGATTAAAACCTTTATGATATCACAGTTTTTGGTTTTATTGTGTGTTACATAGCCACAGCTTTCATTGAAATACCATTTCTTTTAGAATTCACTGACATTTCTTTCCTGCTGATTGCTGGGTACTACTGCTGAATACAATATTTATCTTTTAACACCCATGAGCATATTTAAATTCCCTCAGATGTGATATTTGGCTATGTGGTTTCTATCAGTTTTTATTAAAATAATCGTCCACTTGCACTATTGGCTATCTTTATAAAAACACATGCAAATGTGTTCTGTTTCAGTGGGTTTTTTTAAAAAAAAAAAAAATGTATCTGCTTTAGTTGGTACTGGGTGGAATTTAGCCACATTAATCACTTTTCCAGTAAATTTTCTGTGTGTGATTGCCTACCACAACCACTGATGCCAGCACATTTCTTTTTAGCTACTTTTTTCAGGATTAGCAGAATATTGCTGCATCTTCAGAACTGATGATTTCCTACAAGACTCTAATACATCACAGACCACAGTTGCAAGATAAAATCTGTGCCTGTAGTTTAAAATCACTTAAAATGTGTGTGTAAAGAGAAGTGCTTAATTCATTTTCCAAATCATTTTCCCGTAGAGTTGGAACGTGTCTTAAACCCTTAGCTGTTTTTTTATGCTACTGTATACAGTACCTACCAAAGGTTAGAAATACCAACACTACTCAACTTTGACGAGGACATTCTTATACACTGTTGGTAGGAAGATAAATTAGTACACTTCTGTCTACAGGGCAGTTAAGAGTTAATAAGCAGTATGCATACTGAACCTTAAAGATGAGAAAAATCTTTACCCTGGCAATTTCACTTATGAGAATTCATCCTGGTTGCGGTATTCATCTCAGTACAATTGACAGTGGCAAACAAATTGGAATAATACGATTATTAATATTAGGAGACTGATTAAACAAATTATGGTATATCCACGTAAAGGAATTCTATGTAGCCATTAAAAAGAGTTGTTAGATATACGGACTCAGTGACTTCGAAAGGTTGTTCCAATATAACCACTTTTGTAACAATAGCATTTGTTTTAAATTTTACATATGTATGGGCTTGTGTATAAATACACACAGAAAAAACTTAGAAGAATAGGTATTAACATAGTTTCTATTAAGGAGATATTTTTCTTTTTTTATCTGAATTTTCTAATTTTATATAATAAATATGTATTATTTTTACAGTTATTTATTCATTTAAATAACGACTACAGAAGCTTCTACTCTAGCCTCCCTGCCTCTATGCACATGAGCTTTGAACCAACATGGCAGGAATGTCCCATGCATGCCAACGTGAGTCTCGTGACTCCTGTCCCTCCCGAACTTAGTCCACCACGCTCGGCCGTCCCCTGCCACACGAGCAAGGATCCTGCTCACCAAACTGTCCCGGATACAGGGGGTTTCCACGAGCCTCCGGACTCCGTTCTCCACGGTCACTCCCAGCCAGTTGAGCGCTGCCCAGCACCAGAGGTAGTCGTAGCCTCCATGCCAGTAGCTCACAAATGCAAACGTCATCGCGGTGGAAAACAGTGTCCCCAGCAGGCCGTGCTGGGACCCGCCCACTGGAATGTACACATACCTGGGGAAAGAAGAGGTGGTTAGGAGCTGTAGAGTGGGCTGACCCACAACACTACCTGCTCCAGGGCTCGGTGCTCCTGTGGAACGTCGCTGTGCAGAATAAAAGCAGATCCTTCTCTACTTCCAGGAGGCCACGGGCCGCTCCTTGAACTCCCCATCATGCAAGGACTTGGCCAAAACCCAAGCCTCCGCTCTGCCGGGCTTTAGGTTAAGTGAACACGCAGGCTGAAGAGCTCTCATTACCAAAGCAAAATAGCACTTACGAGAGGGCAAGGCGACAAGTAATGAATTTAGATTTTCTGGAAGGGATGCACCCAACGCTGGAAACCCAAGCACAGCATGGCAATTAAGCTTCTGGCTACATGGGGCTAACCAACCTTCAAGGCAGGTATGTATTTTACAGCTCACACCAGGCAGTTTATGGCAAACCGATTATTTAAACACAATTGCCAAGATCAGGCCCCTGAACCTCAGGAGCTGGGGTAGAGCAGAGGGGTGCCAAACCTGTTTTCCCCAGTTTTCCAGGCAAGTTGCCCAGAAATAGCAGTGAATTTATAAGTAAAAAAAAAAAAAGAAAAAAGAAAAAAAAAAGTGCTGTGATCACAGGGCAGCCAAACTACCAGCCAAAATGCACAGCCAGCCCCTGGGTATGTTCCTCCTTGCTGAGACAGCTGCCTGAGTATACAGAGACAGGACTATGGTCTTTAATCGGCATTTTCCTGCTCGAGTTGGACAAAACCCACACCTTGGGTTGTTAGGACCTGGAGAGCTAAGAGCATACCCTTCTTGAAGCATCCTTTCTAAGAAGCCCATAGGCCTCTGTTTATTGCTGGTCAGCACTGCTTTGTCCAACTCTCCTCCAGGAAAGAAATCATCATTTTCTGTCTACACAGTATGTTCCAGACACAACCTTAGGCACTTTACATACCTCACTGACTCTTCGAAGCACCGTATGTTTACACCTGATGCCTTAAAGCTTCCAAACCAGTTTAGCATTTGTCCCATTTCTATGTTATTTTACTATTTTAGAGGAAATTTTATTTGGAAAATCACTTTTGAATAGAATAATTTATAGGCAGGCAAACCAAAAACTAAAAACTAAAAATGTATCAATGAAGAAATATTTCAAAAGACACTATGTGATTGTAATTATTTTTCAATGTCTCCTTGACAAAGACTCTCTCCCTGAGTAAACTCTCATCAGGCTCCTCTAAGCCATGATCTTGGTATCTGTCCTTGTCACAGGCCTGCGTCACCCAGTTATAGCAAGAATACTGCTAAGTCAGTTTAGAGAGAACTCCCTACACTTTCGATATCCGATCACCGTCCCCATCTGGCCAAATTCCCGATCACTCACCACTGGTATCTCACCATGCCAGCTTGCCTTCTGTAAGAATCCTGCTAGGAATGTCCTATGCCCCAGTGTTTTTCTCTTCCTACCTTTCCACCCAATGACCCCCACACCCTGGCTCCTTGGCTGTATCCCACTTGTCCGTGCTATATTCAGAATTGCGCCCAGTTCTATACTGAGGTCTCTTTTCCCCATTGCAATAGCTCCTGAATAAAACTTGTTTTTTCTGCTTTAACTACTGTCCAGCTCTGGTCTCTACCATTCTTCACTCTCACATGTGTTCCAGTTTAGGTGATAAATTACACGGTCTCCTTAGATCACCCCTTTTACGGGTGAGAAAACTGAAGCTGAGAAGTCAACTTGCCCAAGGTGCACAGGTAGGCACGGGAAGGACCAAAATGCCAATGTGCCTCTGTGGCACCAAAGTCAATGGTTTCCACGACATCTCCGGGCTGATTCTGAAAATCCTTTATTTTTCACCCTGATTGGAAACACTTACACTGGAAGGAACGTGAGAATGTAGCCAATTCAGAAACAAGTAAAGCAAAGGGACTCATTTATCTTGTGTAAAAACAGGACCATCTTGACAATCGAATTAGCAGATAGGCATCAAACATTCACTATAGACGAAGGGCTCGTCCATCTGCTGTTGGGCATTTCTTTAGGTCTTCAGGGAATTCCTGGCATTTTGGGAAACGCAGAGACATCGCTCCCACCGTGAGGACAGGTATACACGGTTGTCAAATGATAGCAAACAAGTCCCATCATTAAGCTACGTGCCGTGGTGCAAAGCAGACCAGTAGGGTTTAAGAGTATGGGGGAGACGGGCGTGAGCAAAGACAAGTGGGGTATGGCAGGCTCCAGGGCAAAAGTCCCCACCTCGGCAAGGCCTAGACAGGATGAGTTTTGCTGGGTAGAGGGGAGAAGGTTGGGTGCAGCACCAAGAACACACAACAGGAGCCCGGCAATATGCCAGAAAGCCCTGACAGCCCAGGGCAGAAGGAGTTTATTTGGCGTTCTTCTGCCCCCTAGCGGCTGTATTCTTATTGGTGCAGACCACTCCAGCAGACGCAAAGAATGGGCCACAATTCTCTCCCACCTCCTACCTGCATGGAGGTAACCACTGGTCCCCCATCATGAGGCTGCCCTCAGGTTATACAGTCAGTGCCCTGTGTGACAACGTAGTAAATATCATTCATCCAAAAAAACACAAAGGTGATCAAACCAATTTCAAAAGGAAACTTTGCAGATAACTGTTTTAGAAAATAAGTTTTGGAATACTGTCCTCACTCAGCCTAATTTCATTGAGATTTTTATTGTATTTCAATATATAAAAGTGGGCTACACTGTAGATGTCAGAAAACCCAGTATAAAATAAAAAACCTCTCATTCGCCACCTCAGTGGTCCTTGATATTAGATTCGACTGCAAAAAGGACACGTTTTCAAGCTTGTGGTGAGGAAGCATTTAGCCTCCAAATTACATGCATGGCTATTTTAGGCGTCTCCTGGAACCAGGCTGTGTTACGCTGCCTTCGAGATGACAGCCGACAAAAATATGAGAATTCCTTTTATTCCAGAAATTCAGATATGGCAGGTCTCCAAGGATACGGACTTGCTTGTTTCCAACCAGGAGAGAGTATGGTTTCCAGACCGCAAGGTACAATCCCTCTTGTTTACTCTTAATCTCTAGAAGGCAGTAGGTATGGTAAGGAGAGCTGACAGGCTATTTTCTTTTTCAAAGTCTACCAGTCTTGTGTCAGTTCCATGATTAATAAAAACAGAAACATGTCTCTCTTTTAGGAAAGCAATAGTATTAAACCACTTACTAAGATCTGCTGCACAGTCAACTGATTTCCCAGTGGAAGAAAGCAATCAGCACCGTCTTTCTCAGCAAAGCACAACTAAAAGGATCCCTTCTCATCAGTGACCATGTCGGTTTGAGTCTTCTCAAGGCCTGCCCCTGCCCGGCTGGCTTCGCGTGGTCACTGCTTATAGAAAACGCTGCTTGGGGGTAACATCCATCTGCAAACCACCTTCTTAATTTAAAAGAATCTCAACGAAATCAATGCAACACAGCAAACCCCCAACTCAGGAGGAGGAACCTATATGAAATGTAGATGGTATTGGTAACGTCGACCTTTTACTGAGTACTCATGCACCAGGCATTTTATGTAAACTATTTCTAATCATTAAAACAACCCTGCAAAGAAATTATGACTAGGCCTATTTTATACCGGAGAGGCGACATCTGAACCTGGAACACCGTGGTTTCAGGACCCCTAGGCCTCTGTTTCATTGGTGATGTGTTTCTCTTATTTAACAAAATCTTCAAAGCAGTCTCCACAGGAACATGCACTAACATTTTGTTAACTGGAAAAAAAAAATAATAAAGGAGTCTTGCTCAAGAGAATAATGCTCATTATTTACAAAGGAGTTTGAGTCAATGAGCTCTGTTAGCTACTTCTCAGTGCCAGAAGGCCAGAGGTATAACTTCTACTTTTGGAAGGACTAAGTAGTTACCCTCTGTCTCACAAGCAAAGATGATACCTGCTTTCTTGACCAGCCTGGCATCCTGCAGATGTCTTTGTCAGAAGTGCAGCATAAGATATTGGTGGTTAAAAATCAGCCAGGCATAGTGGTGTGTGCCTACAGTCTCAGCTACTTGGGAGGCTGAGGCAGGAGGATTGCTTGAGCCCCGAAGTTTGAGGCTGCAGTGAGCTATGGTGATGCCACTGTACTCCAGGCTGGGTGAGACCCTGCCTCTACCAAAAAAAAAAAAAAATGGTTGGGGTGGCTGCTGAGTAGGGGTATGTGCAGGGAAAAGAAAGTATCTGCTAAAAAAAGGGAAGGGTAGGAAGGGGGAGAAGAAAAACTAGCTATCAGGTGCAGAGTATACTATTCAGGTGATGGGTACACTAAAAACAAAACAAAACAATAATCATCACTATATAATTTCATCCATGTAACCAAAAATCATTTGTACTCCTAAATCTATCAAAAAAAAAAAAAAGTCAAAAATCTAGCTCCGTCCTAGCCACTATGAAAAACAACTCAAGAATATGCCCTAGAGCAGTCGGCAGGTGGGGTGAGAATAAACATGATAAACATACTCATTTTAAGATCACAACACTTCCTCTTTCCAAAGACCTACCCAACAGCCCCCTGGCTTGCCATCTCATCACTGAACTCTCTCAGACTCACTAATCCCAGCCCCCGTCAAGGTAAGAAGATGAAGCACCTAAGACACTGGCAGAGTTGGCTTTGACTGCCCCATGCACTGAGCCCACGTGGGTTTGCAAGTTCCTATCTTCATTCACCTATCACTTGACAGGGCTGGGGCAGGCAGTTGCTGACATCCTCCTCCAGCTCTGCCTTATCTTTTCACCCTTATTTTCCCACCTATCTCTCTAAAATCCTGAATAAATGGTTTTTTCGTATCTCCATACCTTTAGTTGTACCATTTTCACATGTAGAAGACGCTCCTCCTCCCTCCTCTGATTTTCCAACTCCTATTCACTCTACAAAAATCCAGTTGATTTTCTATCTCCTCCAGGAAGTCTCCCCTCGAATTTTCCAACTTGCTATTTAACCCAGAGAACCTACTGTGTACTGTGTGTACCACCGACTGAACAGCTATTTACCAATGTAA